AGGGGGGTCCTCACCTCTTCTAGGGGGGTCCTCACCTCTTCTAGGGGGGTCCTCACCTCCTCTAGGGGGGTCCGGGGGCATGCTATCCCAGGAAGATTTGTTTTTAAATATTGAAGTTAAAAGCATCAATCTGGTGCACTTTGAGAGCAACATTAAGAGATCTATGGATACATCTCTCAACACCCAGATGAAACAGAACTGTAAACAGATTTACTATTTCTTTATGGATATTTTACAAATCACTCCCCTTTTAAACTGTATTCTTGTTTTACTGTCATATAGTAGGCTATTTCATACCTGGCCCTCCCACGGCGCCGGGTCTGCCTCTGTGTAAAGAGATTCTGAAAGTTTGGGTTAGGGTTTTTGCTGAGTGTTGCGTTTTTATGTCAAAACGTACTCTTAAGAGGAATTAATAAAACAATGTATCTATATAAATGAAAAGCAACAACACATGTTCTCATATATTTGTGTTAATACATGTGGTAGTGAATTGCAGGAAAAGCTTCACAATGCTTTCAGGCAGCTGTGAAAGACGACAGGAAGGAAGGAAACGAGTCAGTAAAAGAGAGGAAATCCTTTCTGCCATGTTGGTAAACGAAATACACGATGACAATGTAAATCACATCTGTGCTGGCTTTGTCTCTTATGTATTGTGTGTTTGATTATCTGCTATTTGTGTCACTCACATTGCATGTTTGGTTCTTAGATATCACTATCCAACACAGTCTCACGGCATTTCAGTATTCTGACACAGAACGATTTTAGAAGCAATGTATTTCTAGTGGTAGTATGTTTCGTGCCTGCACCAAATAATAACAAATTAGAAGGAAAAAAAGATGACGAAAAATACAGGTTTCAGTATTCTGAGGCTCTGAGCCATTTCTTTTCCTCGCAGACGGCAAAAAAACTCAGACATTATACAATTTAAAATAAAAGGGATAGGGTTAGGCTTAGGGTAAGATATTGAGTAAGAAAATGTTTTTATGAACCACACAGCTTCTGGTATTCCAAGACCCGACCGGACAAAAATAAGTGGTGCAGGCACGAAACATACTACCTATAGAAATACATTGCTTTTAAAATCGTTCTGTGTGACACGAAAAAAATGTGAAAATCGTGTTGGTGAACACAAATCAATAGATTAAATTAATTTCGTGACTATAACAGGAAATGCCGTGAGACTGGGTTGCACTATCTCAGTGTTTCTCAAACTTTTTCATACCAAGGACCACTTAACCAATAAAAAAACACTCGCGGACCACCTAACTCCACAAATATCCAAAAACACATCGTTTTTTACAAATCGCCTGAAAATTGTACAAACAAGTGGCCACATGTGTGATGAAGGTGTTTATCTGGGCTATATCATGCAATCGAAAGTGAAACTTTAGGTTCGCTCCATTGAGGAGATATTCCCGCGAGAGTGCGGAAAACTTGCATTAATTTATTTCAAATGTGAAATTTTACCAATATACTCACGGACCACTAGGGGGCGCTCACGGACCACCAGTGGTCCGCGGACCACACTTTGAGAAGCACGGAGATTGTTTGATTATTTACAGGCTTGGATCATCTTGAACAAGCCACTAGCGGTGTTCGATGTCCAACAGTAAAGTGATTTAGTTCCTAACTGTATTGCTATTAGCTTGTTTGTTTATAAAAGTTATAGCTAACCCTAGCAGACCAGGGTTTTATGTGTAGCATATTAGCTACAGTAGGTTAGCATGTATGATTGTTAGTTAGCTTATTCGTTTACTATAGCCAGCAAAAGCAAACTAGCAGTTGTTGTGTAGCTTGTTAGCTACAGGTAACCTTGTATCAGTGCTGTTACCTTGTTAGCTACAGTAGGTTAGCTTGTATGATTGTTATTTAGCTATTTAGTTGACAATAGCCAACCGAAGCTAACTAGCATTTGTTTGATAGTTAGGTAACCTTGTATGAGTGCAGTTTGCTTGTTTGCTACACTCTATAAGATTTAACTAACCCCTGTTAACCTTGTATGAGTGTTATTTAGCATATAAATTACAATAGCTAAGCCAAGCTATGTTGTTTAGCTTACAGTAGCCAACCTTGTATGCAGGGTTGCCAACTCTCCCGCATCTGGCGTGTGACACACGCTTTCACTCTCAATCTCACGCTTTTCACTCTCAATCTCACGCTTTTCACTCTCAATCTCTGCGTGCGTGCGTGTGTTTCATGTATAGGCCTCTCACGATAATTAATTTTGTTGGATACATTTTCCCGGAAATGATTGCGATAAACGATAATATTGCCGGCACCGTTGTATGACCATTTTAGACCACTGACATAATGATAATATATAATAATAATTCAAGTACATCCTTTCAAACTGCTAGTCACATGCTCATGTAAATGGCAATTTATCGTGGTCAGAAAAGTTATGGAGTTCATTTGTATTTATCGTACGATAAGTCAATTAATTGCTTATCGCGATAGGCCTATGCACACAATAAAACAGTGGAAACAGTGTTTGACTTTCATTAGTGAATGAAACTTTGTGCCCTTTATAGTCTGTGTCCAATATTGTGTATTTGTATATATTGTATATATATATCTATGCTAAGGTCCCGCTACGGACACGATAGCAGTCATTTAGTGCGCATATGTGTAATTAAACCCATGATATCAAAATCTCACTCCAGCCAGGTACCCAAAATTGGCAACCCTGTTGTATGACAGTATGCATTGTGAGCTACAGAGTAGATTAGCCTAGTGTACCTGTTGTGTGTTTGTGTCTGCTAGTCCACATATGATTGAAATGCTAGTTAATGTGTGTGGAAGATAGCAGTCTAATGTTGAATATATTGTTAAAAAAGAACAAGGTCTAATAACGAAACAGTTTAATTGTATTTTCATACATTGCAGCCCTCTCACTCACAAATGCTTCGATGCACACACACTCTCTCTACTCACATGTCTAATCATGAAATGTAATCTGAGCTGCTGCGTGCAGTGCCTCGCTCATTTAGGTTAGCACCATTCCCTCCAGTGTGAGCTGCATTTCTCCTGACCTGTGTTTCACACTGCTGAGGGAAATGACTCAGGCCTATAGACCAAATTAATCTGCCGCCTGCTGTGTCAGGAGAATTAGAAAGGAAGAAATAACACAAAAAACCTAATCCAACCCCAATAAAACAGCAGGTCTGGTCTAAGAGGGTTTGTAATTAGGTTTGGGTTGTGTGTGTGTAGCGTAACGTTACAAAATATATGGCATTGTGTGGCCGCTTTTTCCACTGTCTACAACACTGGCTGCTTTTCCTTTGACAGACACAGCGAAACGAATCCTTTACCCAAGCAGATGTTGTCCTTTCTGTGGTGATTGTGTGTGTGTTTACATGCACATGATATTCCCTTTTTAATGTGACATTGTTAAGTGACCTGTTTTTAGGTTCATGCTTGTGGACTTCCATTTAATAACCTGTTTATAATAATGCTTTCTCACCAACAATCTGATTATATAGGGACACTTGGTTAGATTTCCAGTTATTCAGGTACTGCTTTTAGGTGTACAAGTGCTGTTTAAGCGAACCTTAGTAGCATGCATAGTTTTAGTTATGCTATTCTGTAGGTCAACAACAAAATAATACAAAATGGGCGGACTTGTTTTTATGGGGAAGGCTTTATCTGCTCCTAAATCTGTTAACATGAGCACCCAGCTTGTGTAAATTATCTCGGTATTTACACCTGTGACATGTCACGGTGTCAGTCTGTCAGTAATCACTTTATTGGACCATGACCAGGGGCTGCTTACATAACATCTAGTACTGGTTTACATGGCAAACATCCATATTCAAATTCTCCTTATTAACATTTAGTAATCTAATTAAAGAGATGCTTCACCTAGCAACGTTTAGGGATATCTGACTGGAAAGTTTACTGATTTAAAGGTAAGTGACATGATACTGCAACTTGTACAAATACAGCACCACCTACTGGAAGGAAAGACGTACTGTACGGCATTCATTTCAGGTGAATGCATCAGGCTACATTTAGGCAAATGAGTAATGTCTGAAGTGAGACTACGGTATGTGACATGTTAGACTCAAAGCTGGCAGACGTCTGTGTGTGTGTGTGTGTGTGTGTGTGTGTGTGTGTGTGTGTGTGTGTGTGTGTGTGTGTGTGTGTGTGTGTGTGTGTGTGTGTGTGTGTGTGTGTGTGTGTGTGTGTGTGTGTGTGTGTGTGTGTGTGTGTGTGTGTGTGTGTGTGTGTGTGTGTGTGTGTGTGTGTGCAAACTTTTTTCTTATTTTATCGTCTTGTCCTTATTTGGGAGTTTTTTAATTTTTCTAGATTCAATGATTTATATGTTTGGTAGACAACATGTCATAGCTTTAAAGGTCTTGTTACTGGTAAAAAAAAAAAACACCAATATTCACTTTCAATTGAAATAAAAGAGAGAAATACAGTACACCTACATATATTAGAGGCTAAAACTGCATTTACTTAAACAATTAATCCATTTTCAATATATTTGCCGATTATTAGGGGGCGGTGGTGGCGAAGTCGATAGGGACTTGGCTTGGCAACTGGAATGGCACCAGTTCAAGTCCTGGCAAGACCAAGTGCTACCGAGGTGTCCCTGAGCAAGGCACTATTCCCTACACTGTTCCCCGGGCGCTGTACAAAATGGCAGCACACTGCTCCTAACACTAGGATGGGTCAAATGCAGAGAAACAATTTCCCCACGAGGGATTAATAAAAGTCCATCTTATTATTCTGTAGCTCGACTAGATCAAGATCATGTCTCACTTTTTTTTTTACACCAAACCTTTATTTCCCTTGATATCAGAGATCAACATTGACACACATATGTGGTTTACATTTGAAAGAGAATAATCCTGGAGACAGTTACCGTGATCTTTTAAAATGTCTTCCAAACACAGACCCAAACAAAGAGTCCTGCTGAAGCCGCTCAAAGCCTTAAAACCTCCGTTGCCTGGGAACAGAAGGAAACAAATCCCATGTCCCAAAGTGTGTGTGTCCCGACACAACACTGAACAACATGTCAGCTTTCTCCTCCTCTGGCTTCAACAATCTATCTAGTTTGTATTAACACATCTCCTAATGGCCCCTTGATGCAGAGTGTTATTTTAAGTCTGGATAAGGATATACAGAGGTCAAGAGAAATTGTGTTTCCGGACTCCCTTTTGAATTTTTCCTGGTTTTCAATGTGCTGGATCTAAGGAAGCAGTCACCTGTAATGCTGGTACGTAATCAAAGAGTTTCTTATGCAGTAATATGTGTAAAAATACACCTGACCTTATTCTGAACATTTTTCTCTGTATTTATTCCAAAAAGATTTTTTTTTGTATTACTTTGTTCAAGACATTTATTCAATTTTCTGAAATGTTTTTTTTCTTTTTTAATGATCTAATCAAGCATCCACTTATTACATTTGTGCCAATTTGCATACATTCCCAGAAGAGAAATGTGAAAGCATTTCTAAATATCTAGGTTTAAATGTTTTGTTGACATATTGTAGTCAAATGAATAATGCATTATGTCTTTGTATTCTGTCCGTAATTCCGAAAATATGGTCAAAAAAATCTATTTGATCAGGAAATGTATGATATTCTAATGCTAACTTTGGTGAAATTAGGAGAAATACAGACTCAAGTAGTCAAAGCTAGTTTAGTAAGTACCTAAAAGTATGTTTTGGATACTTCTTATTCTTTGGACATGTTATGTAAGCAAAATAGCCCAAACTCTTAAAATTGACCTGTTGAATAATGTAGTATATATTGTAAATACTCTAGATTACAGCACCTTCTGTTAATCTGCTTTGTCATGGAACAATAGGTGATGGTGTTAAGGATATTCAAGAGGAAAGGTAAAACTCTGTCTTCAGTTTCAGGTGACTGAACTGTGCTGGGTAACTTTATCGCTCTCACTCTGTCAGGTCCTCTGTCAGAGTGCATCCTGTTAACTACAGACTGCATCTCTTCCCTTTGTGTCCTGCAGCACGATGGCCAAAGGAAATAAAAGGAAAGCAGCTAAAAGTAAAACCATCACCTTGAAAGTGGCTAAAGAGTGTCTTCAGTTGACTCTGGATGGCAAACTTCGTCTGGATCTGAGTTTTAAGGAGGTTTCTGTGATGCCGAAGTGCCTCCCGAAGCTGTGTGAGGTGGAGGAAGTGGACCTGAGCAGGAACCTGATCACAAAGATCCCGGACTTCATCGATTATTTCCTCAGCCTCCGCCTTCTGGATCTGCACAGCAACTATGTGAGGGCGACAAAACATGTCAGAAAACTTAAAATAATGGTCTTAATGTAAGATATCAAAAGGGGAAGTTTCATGCGTATATTTGCTATATGCAGTGGTGTGCAAATGTATGGACTTTCACCATACCTGTACATAAGACTGGTTTCTCTAAATTCGCCTTTTCTAATACTGTGAGCCATAATTCTCCACTTTAGTATAATTTACATCACCAAACTCTCCATTTTGATTTACATAAGGGTATTTTTCATTCTTTCATTATGCTTCTTTTTTTTTTTAAGGACAAAAATGTGAGGTTTTTGGGGCTTGTTGATAGTATTTTGTTATTTATAGAGTAATCCAATGTCTATGTGTTGTTGCGTGACATGTCCATGTTACAGTGTTCAATGAGAAACTGAATAACTTTTTGAAATGGATAAGTGTCTGATTAGATGCCATGGTGTCTTCTTTTTGATTCACATACATGTTACAACACAAAATAAAAATAAAAAGTAGACCACAAAGCCCAGGAAATAGCTGTAACTGATACAAGCTTAAATGGTGTAGTATAGAATGTGTTTCTACTAAGGGGTTTGTTTGAATATCATTCAAAGCCTGATTTACAGAGCATTTTAATCTTAAAAACAAGGCGAAAATGTATTTTTTGGGGATTGTTAATAGTATTTTGGTATTTATAGAGTACTTCAAACAGAATTGTGGCAAACTCTTATTATGTCATCAAAATGAACCACAAAGTTGTGCAGTTGGTAATGGAGCTTTTGTTGCGTGACCTGTCCATGCCACAGTGTTTAATGAGAAACTGAATGACTTTTTGAGATGGATACGTTTTCCTTTCTTTTTTATTCACGGTATTTTCTTTACAAATGTTTATGTTGCAACATAAAAGAACAGAAAAAGTAGATCACAAAGCCCAGGAAATAGCTGTAACTGATACAAGTGTAATTGGGATGTAATACAGAATGTGTTATTGCTCTGACTTCAGCTGGAGGAGCTCCCTGCGTCTGTCGGCCGTCTCCAGAACCTTCTGGTCCTGAACCTGTGCAACAACCGCCTGTCCAGCCTCCCCAGTGCCATGGGTCTCCTGAAGAAGCTTCTGACTCTCAGCCTGGGGATGAACCAGCTGAACAACCTGCCCTCCTCCATCTCCGCCCTGCAGGAGCTGCGGCACATCGGCCTCTCCGACAACAAGTTCACCCGCGTCCCCTTCTGCATCTCCAGGATGGACAAACTGGAGCGGGTCAACCTGGACAGGAACCCCATCGTCACCGAGGATAAATCCAATCAATCCCATTAATATCGAGAAGCTCTGCCTGGTGAAGGAAAGCATCCTGTGTGAAGACTGCCTCAATAAGTGCCAGACTGACAGGAAGACGATGGAGGATAATGAAACAAATTGACCGGGTAAAGCCAACCTGTTGACCCAGGAAGGATAAGAAAAAAACACTTATAGGAACTTCATATGTATAGTTTTGACTCGTTTTATTTTACCACACTGTTTACTCAAGCATACTGGACTGTTTCCTTAATAGTAAAGTGGTTTTAAGTTGCACTACAGTGCCATCTACTGTTCTAACACAAGTAAGTAAGTTATTTAAACCCCCACTAGATGTCCATTATGCATTATTATTAGCTTTAATGGAGTTGGTATCTATGCAGTGTTTTGCTCAAAGACACTCATCATTTGTTTTCTACTTCACTTACATTTTTAATCTCAACCTTCTAAGGAAGAACAAATGCTTCTTTACGATAGATAACAGATAATGAAGGTTCAACAGTTTATTCTAAGCATGACGGAGCCTATAAAGCAACTATTTTAAGTTATTAGACACACTAAATGCTCCTCTAAGTGTATCCAATGAGAAACCTTTCTATTATATAAATATATATATCTATTCAATCCCCCACTAGATGTCCATGATGCATTATAATAGGCTTAAATAGAGCTGGTATTCGCAGTGTTTTGGTCAAAGATACTCTTTATTTTTGACTTTTTGCATTATTTTTAACCAACAGGTAATCTCAACCTTTGTTATTATAAATCTGCTTTTTTTAAAAAGAAGTTTACAGTAGCATACAGTAGCATACAGTAGCATACAGTAGCATACAGTAGCATACAGTAGCATACAGTAGCTTACAGTAGCATACAGTAGCATACAGTAGCATACAGTAGCATACAGTAGCATACAGTAGCATACAGTAGCATGACCCTTGTTGATCAATTTTTAACAACCTTTGAAGACACACGTGTATAAATCTAAATACACACATACTAAACTAATGACAGAAGACTCAACCTAAGATAATGTTGGTTTAACAGTTTAGTCTGAGCATAACTGTGCTTATTAAAAAAGTCCTTTCTGTTATTAGACTTACTAAATCCTCTAATCTGATCCAATAAGCAACTTTTATGTTACGAAATTACTCCAGTTGTACCTCTAAAATCTTGTCTTAAATAACATGTCCTTCTGTTTATTCCTCCCGATGTTATCTCTAGCTTGGGATCAATTCTTTGTCTCAGCCCAATCTCAGTGTCTATAGTGTCCGTGTGCTGCATCTACACAAACAGTCAATACAATCTGAAAACAGTGAATTACCTCAGAGTAGTTTTCTCCACTGATCTGCAGAGTGCTGAGTCGACTGAATTAAGATCTCTGCAGATAGAGGCGTTAATGAGCAAACAGCCTGGTATTGACCCAGCCATACAGTGAGAATGATCAATGGTACAGTGAAATGTGAGGGACACGGCACACAATCTATCAACAAATAACCCCTGGTCCAACAATATCACAAATGAACATGTACGGTTTGAGAGAAACATGCGTATGCTGAATTGCTCAATGGTAACAGATGGTAGTATAGTCGTTTTCAATTTATCAATTATTCCACTACAAAAATAAGTAAATACCTAAAAGCAGTTATTGTTTTGTTGTTTATTTATTATAAGTGTATTATTCTATGTTTGTGTATCGCTTGGTTTACGAGTGTGCAGCTAAAGCTAAAGGTCGGTCACAGCTGAACAGTTTGATGCTCTTTGGGCACCGCTCCCAGACACATGGACACAGTCAGTGTTATTGAAAATCAATTCACACTCCTGCACACACACTCCTGCACACACACACACACACACACACACACACACACACACACACACACACACACACACACACACACACACACACACACACACACACACACACACACACACACACACACACACTTATAGATGTGCTGTCTTTTTGTTTCTCCCTGCTTTTTCCTCAGCCAATCCATCAGCCTCTCCTTCCTCCCGGTTGCTCTCTGTACGTCACACACACACACACACACACACACACACACACACACACACACACACACACACACACACACACACACACACACACACACACACACACACACACCGGCAGGATGGACCAAACAGGATTGCTTCAGAGGCAAAGCAACGTGTCAACAAATAGAATCTAATTAATGTTGATTGCACGGACCAGGCTCTTTTATTGGCCGACATTGAGGGCACTTGGACGTTGTTACAAAATAAGGAATGAACAAAAGCTCAAAGAAGAAAGGCATTGTGGGGATTTCCCTTAAGCTTCCTCCACCTTTTACATATTTCTGTATCAAAACGTAAACAAATCCTAATTCAAAGTGCCTGCCACATTCATTAAAAACACGAATAAGGCCTGATGGTTCGCTGCATGGCTTTACAGCTAAATCCAATTTTTGCAGTTCTTATATCCAGTCTTGGAACATAATGTATTTTACAACAGTATGTCCTGCAATCTACTCATTTATTTTCCAGACAAGCGTCACAATTACTATAATTTTTTATTTAATACGCTTGTTTATTCAATTTTTCTGTTTTTGATGGTCAAAACAGTTACAGGTTACATTTCACTGGCTTTACTGACTATGGGAAAATTAAGTAACAGCCAAAATGCTGAAAAGATAACATTAGAATAGTGAAACAGAAATATTAGGTATATACTGTAAGTGACTTTAAGCAGGACTTGTTAATGGACTTGCACACAGACATTTATATATTTTTTATATCAAAAATTACTCATGTTTGTCTAAAACAGCTTCACCTAATTCTACTTGTCCCGTGTTTCACCCTAATTCATGTTGCTGCTTAACATCTGACATTTTCTTGTGTTATCTTATCCTATAGACATACATCATTAGCTTCCTAATTAATTATATTAAGCTTTCAGTGATCATCTGCTGAAAAATGCCTACATGCAATCCCTCCAATCTACCCAAAGGACTGCGTAGGGAAACTGAGACGGACAGAAACCCAGACAGGCAGAAGGTTTCCGTCCCTTTAGGACTCACCACAGTCTGATGTCCTGTCAGCTCCTCTCATAACCATTAGTGGATGAAGTCATGGCGCTAATTGTCAGAGACAGAGCAGTGAAGGAGGCTAATGGGGGCAGAGAGAGGCGAGCGAGACAGAGAGAGAGAGACAGACTTAAAGACAGACAAAGCTCAGGGGAGAACACCTGTCTGCTGTCTCTTCAGTCAGTCACACTTCTGTCCTAACGAGCATTTTCTTTCTTCTAATTAAGGATGGGAGATGAGAGCTTCAGTCACTGGACGGCTGCTTATTAGAGAGAAGGAGACAGTTTTAGTGGAGAAACATTTCTTGATACATGTCCTTAGTGACGAGTTTGACCTTGTTTCTGAGACAATTATATGTTGAATTCCTCAAATGGTTTAAGATTGCAAAGTAAGTATGCAAGTTCAAGGTCTCATTTCACATTATTGTGAAAGAAGGAGAGTGTCTAAAATAAATATTTACAGAATATAAAGGGAATAGTTTTCAGGAGTTGGAAGGATTGGAAATAACATTAAATGTAGTCACTTTACAGACATTTTTGTGTGTTTTATGTTTAGGAATACTTCAACTTATTCTTTATTTTTTATAAATACAATATTTTACATGTAATTTAGGCTATATATAATTTAAATGTGCATAAGTACAAATGAAGACTAATTACTACGTACTTTAATAAACGTTAGGCTGCCGCTACTCCTGAAAAACATTATTGTAATTCTACATTTGAAATAGCATCTGTTCAGGAGTAAAACAAAAAGTGCAATATAATTTAGGGGAAAAAAGCAATTTTGGATTTAAAGATGTATTGTTGTATTATTGTACCTTTAACTGGTGAAAAAATAAAGAGTTGAAAAGTGTTTCATCTTCATTAAATGTCACTGGTTGTGCACCATCCACCCATCACGCTTTGTGACGCAAATCAAACAGGTGCGGCCTACAGGTTCATGCTAGCTCCGGCTAACATGCTAATGCTAAATTCTGCTGTCACTGACACACTCTTAGCTTCAGTGAGGAGTATGAGGACTGTCTGCTGTTTGTGACGACACACAGTGTGTCTGCAGAGCTCGTTCAGTTTAACATGTTTGAAAACGTTTTAAAGAGTGCAGGCAGGAGCGGACGTTAGCATCGGGAGTAGCCTGGAGTCAGGTGAACCTGCAGCAGAATGGATTGAGGAGGACTAATACCTGCAGACAGGTGAGTACAACAACACACTGTAATGTGCACCACACTGTAAAACTGCTCTCTTTTTGATTTAACATGTGTAAGAAGAAGAAAGAAGAAAAACAAGATTATATACACTACTAATGCTTGTTGCAGCAGACTTTATTTATTATTTGTGTGTAACATAAGACGTTTTGTCCTGTTTCTGGTTAATTCTAGTGATAGCACACAGAGAATGGTGGTTGTTTATTAATAATTTCTAATCAGTTGTGTGCTATTTTGGGCAATATATCAATATTATTTCGATATCAAGATATGATACTTATTATTTCTTAGATATTGGAAATTGTAATAACTCAAAGGCTGCATCCCAGTATAAGGCTTCTATTATTTGCCTTTACCCACATGGTCATTACATCGACATTACTGAGGATTATTTATCAGTAATCATTGTGTAGGGTTAACTATGGTGCTTTCAGAAAACACTATTATATCTTATCAATATTGAAGTATTTGTCACAAAATATGATGACATTTCATTTTCTCCATATCGACCAACCCTGCTAAGGCTGCGTCTATAGACATTTGATTTATTGTTGAGTAGAGCCTCTGCGGTGTAATTTGTATATGTTCAATATTAATGCACATATCCCCAAAGGTGTCCTTTATTTAATAGGTGAATCATATATTAGGTGCATATATTCTTGCAGTGTTTTACTTGTAACCGACTTGATTTAAAGTAATTTAGTAGCTTCTATTTTCAGCCTTGTTTTGTTTTTAAAAGACAGATTTAAGAGACTATCATAAAAGCTTTCATTAACCTTTTTAAGGTGTGTTAAATCATGGCATGTGCTGGCTGTTTTATGCTTGCATTTTCTCTTCATAAAAGCACAAAGTAGACATAAATAAAAATCTGTGTGCATATCTTTGTAAATGTACCTTTTTAAACACATCCTTACATTTGTATTAATTAACGGAGCTGTTTTTTAGCTGGTTTGTGATCCTAATCAGGGTGTATGTTTTAATTTGTGACATTGACATATATTAATGGTCAATTTTATAAAACAGTAATTGATAAAACGTTGATACTGTATGATAGGAAGCACCTGATACATTCAGATATATTCAAATATATAAAAGTCCAGAAAATCACATATTCTCATCCATTCATCTTGTATGGAGATTTGACCATGGTCACTTTGGGCAACTATAGAATGAGTTGTATAAAATGTCTTTATCATGGAAATTAAATCTGGTTTTAATGAAATGATTTAAAGAGGCATGGTTAATAGAGCCCCTGGTGACTGCTGGTGATCAATAAGTCATGCGAAGTCAACAGTCACACCTTCAGCAGCAGACACCCACCAGTCTGCTTTAGCCCACCCTACCAATATGACATTTTAATCCTCCTCAGCATTAATATTTTACAAGGTGTTATAAACACTGTGGATTCTGAAGACATGTTATTATTCCAAGCACAGTTCATCCTCTGTGACAGTATTTGACCTCAATGGGGAAGAATACTGAATAAGCATTATTGATATATCCTCTTG